TGCAACGATCGAGACTTCTCTCTCATTTTTCCCCACTTCATCCAACAATTTCGACAAATATTCGTATTTGAAATTGGCGTACTTGTCACGCGGAGATCGTACAAGAGAGACCGTCCAATCCATCCTTCTTCTTTCAGCATGGGAAAAGCGTGCGTGTGTATACGTATGTGTATGAGAGAGAAAGAGAGAGAGCGAGAGAGAGCAAGGAGTACATGATTACTTTTTGTGTGTGTATGTGTGTTCACGCATGCGCGTTGAAACTGGATAAGGCGAGACGAAAGAAAGGATACTTGAAATTTTACGTAGAACGGAAATGTCGAGCGATTAATTTCCTCGTTTCTTCAACCTCCTCGAAATCGAAATTCAATCGCTTGAAATAAATTCGCAAATTGTAAAAATTCTCAAGCGGAATAAGTCTCGTCGATCAAAAATTTTCCAAATTTTCGACATCGAGGAGAATCTTTCGTATATATTTTTTCGATACGATTTTTGACAAACGCGAAAAAAAAAGTTTCCATTTTTACTGATTTTACTTTAAGTACATTACAAATTTTATTTGCGAATATTTCGAAGAGACGGAACCGAAAATTGAAAATGAGAATTCGAATCGAATTCAATTTCTCAATTCGCGATCGTTGGGGAGAATTATTTCGCTCGCTCGATAAGGATCGATTCTCGATTAATCTATGCGTGACGGAGCGACGAATGTTGTACGCGCTTTGGCACCGTCTCGCCTCGGCCGGAGAGGCGAGACTTTCTCGTGGGAATGAGCGAATCGGAGGGAAGGTTTTCCTTTTTTTCCTTTTTTTCTTTTTTTTCTTTTCCCCGCTCTCGTCACGCATTGTGTAAAAATACGAGCGACTCGTGTATCCTTCGATCGCGTTCTCTCCGCAGATATCCGTTGGCAAGCGATCCCTTGCGAGATTCGCGTGATTTCGAGCTCCTTCGATCCAAATTCTGCGTAATTCTGGTGTACAATTGTATATTACGCGCGAAGGTGTCAAGAAAAATTAATCGAGATCGAAGGATAAACTGGCGAAGGATGTTAAGAGTTAAAAGTTTTATATATATAAGATTCTCTTTAAATATCGATTTGATCGATGCGATTAGTCAGTTTCCTGATCAACGATATCGAATGTGCTTAGGCACGGTAACAGGCAGTACACTCGGTGCATTATTAAGAGAGTATATGTTAAATAGCACATAGGGGAGAGACAGGGAAGTGTGGAAACAAGGGAGCATGATTAAAAAAAAATTATAGGATAGATTGAATGCTCGATCGATTTTTGGGCATCGATATCTCTCCCTATTTCGTCCTTTCGGAATTTTTTTACGAATGGACAAAAGTTTCTCTTCTTAAAAGTAATTATTTTTTCTTTTTTTTTTCACGAGCGAAATTCGTACAGGTGAAGAAAAAATGTTAACGTCGAATAATTCTGTCAGCACCTTCAAGTGTATGCAGTGGCCCGAAGTTTTTTTTCGCATGGACACGCGATTTTTTTTTTTTTCGATCGGCTTTTTCGCATTCGCGGTCGAATGCCGCTCGAAAAAAATGTCGACCACCACTACGCATGTGTACACTCTGATATAATACAGATATAAGCGTCATTTCCTCTCTTTTCTTTTCCCTTTTCAGTTATTACATTATATATATTATATATATATATACTTTAGTCGAATTATGTCTAACGCGGTGGCCGATTAATTTATGTGTACAAAGTAATTGCGCGCGTTACTTTCAAAAAACAATTGACGAGAGTAGACTTTCTTCTCATCTTTCCCCCCTCCCACCTCCTGCTCTTGTTTCAACGTTTTCCGTGCAACGCGAGGCGGAACGCGATATACGAATAACGGAAAAGAATATCATCCGAGTTGAACATCGCATACGTTCGAATTTGTGTATATTTGCAACGATTCGATTAGACTCGATCGGTAAAAATCTAGAGAGAGAGAGATATTCGTATAGGAGGAAGGAAATTCGAGATGTATGGCGAATTAAGTAACGGTGAGAACGAAAAGGAAGGGATTAAAGAGCGAAGAGAATTTCTTTTTCTTTCAAATGCTTGGTACGAGATACTGCCGAAAGATGTCTCCCTCCTCTCTCGTGTCTATTAACTCTTTATGCGTTTAAAACGCTTTAAACGCTGCTCCCCGAAACGGTAGGAGCGTAACCAACCCACGTATGTATTTTTCCATAATAGTTTCTTATTATTTTATTTTATTTTATTTTATCATTTTTTTTTTTTCGTTTTTTTTCTTTTTCTTATCATTTTTTTTTCTTTCTTTCCGCTAAACGGTTAATTTCACCTAAACAGTAGTTTCTTCTTTCCTTTTGCCTTACTAGGATCGTATATGACAAAAGCATGTATAAATCAGTAGACATTTTGTTTTGTGCTTCTTAGAGATCATACATGATACAATGTACAAAGTAGTATAAAATAAAAAAAGGGTTAATAAAGATTTGTATTTACTTAATCCTCAATTAATGGTTTATCACGAACGGGACATAGGCGTCGCTTGCTCGATTCCAACGCGAACACGTTTTCTTCGCCGTGATATCGTAACATTCTCTTCAATCATCAATCATCGTGTCTAACATTTCGTTTGATTCGATTGATCCCCGAGATATACAACTTTTCTTTTCTCCCCAAATTATAGACAACTGTAATCTGCCCCTTTGTTCCTTTCTTTCCTTCGAATCTATTCGATTCGTACGTCTCCTCGACGACAACAATAACAGTTGTATATAGAGAAACGACTTCTCGTTGGAAGCGCATCGGCGACAAAGCGCAACGACTCGTCCCATTTGTCAAAGCGTCCCAAGGATAAATCGCGACACCATGCGACAGGATAAGAATTCGTATTTTCCTTTCCTCTCCTTTTCTTTTCTTTCTTTCTTTTTTTTTTTTTTTTTCCCTACGATAATAATAGTCAGCGCATAATCTGAAAATTGATCTGAAAATTGTCTCGCCTTAAAGTCGGTCCCGCCTAAAATGGGCCTCGGCGCTTGGATCCGATATAACCATGGTCGGGTCGGTGAGCATTTGTAGACCGTCCATGTCGATCGGGTCGAGGCCCTGCCTCAGAGCGTCGTCCGACGGGAATATGTCCGGGTCGAAATCGCCCATCATCGCCGAGCCAAGGTCCTTCACGAATTCCGGATTCGTAAGATCGTCCGCCCCGGAGAAATCTGCAAAAACCAGAGATTGGAAACTTCCCTCTCCCTTCCTCCTCCCCCTTCTTCGACGTACCTGTGAGGATGATCGTCGGTGTGTTGGGCGTCTGTGGGGTGAGCTGTTGGGCGGTGGTTGTGTTGTTGCTCGTCGCGGTCGTGGTAGACGCTGGCTGATACGGAACCTGGGGGCTCGTGCTGAAGTAACCCGCGTCCCCGCTCCCCAATTCACCGCCGACGTTCATCGTGTCGTTCTGCAAATCCGAATCTCGAATTATTTAACATTTATTCATTCGCTTTATACTGTAAATATAAATTAATTATTTCAAAAAAATTAATTTAACATATTTTTTTTTAAACCTTTAAAAATTTATAAATCAACAAAATATTAAATAATAATATTTAAATATTAAAATTTTAAAAATAAATTTTTAATCTTTTCAATGTAAAAGAAATATTTTAATTAAACTAAAATCTTAAATCTAAAAACACTTTTACTATGTTACGACTTATTTCAACATTAAAATGAAATTGACGTGATTTGTACACTTTTTAGAATTATCTTCAATTAAAGAAATTACAATAATTTACTTTTAAATTCTCTTTCAAATTTATATTAAAATAAATTATTCAAAAAATTTAATT